CCGGGAGCGGAGCAGGGAACCCACGTGTGGGCGCTTCCGGCCGCTCATTGACGTCAGGCGACGCGGGAGGAGAGGCCGACTGGGCCCGACCGCCTCTGATGACGTCATTCGCACAGACAGTGGCTTGCGCGCCCCCAGGCGGCTATCGACGTCTTGACGGAACTCGGGGCGCGGCCCAACGAAGTTCGCCCACCCGAGGGCGCAGCAGCGCGCGCCTTCGCTGGGGTGGGGTGGGAAGGGGCGGGGCACGCGCCTGGGGGATTTGGAGCCCTACTGCCGCGGGCCCTGGCTTGGCCCAACCTATGTCAGTGCCATCCTCTGACCCTATCATCCTTTCCTGATTCCCAGATCTTAGCCTCTGCGGTGGGGATAGGACGGCTTTGCTTCTCCGGAAGGCACTGTGAATGTCTGTGACGTGAATAAAGTAATAAATGACTGAGAGTGACTAAGTTTGGGATCCCAGCCCGAACAGGGCTCCCTGAGATGTCTCCAGTCCCTGGCAAAGCGCTCCCCTATCACTTCTCCCCAGTTATTCTCTTGGGGCTCCATCCTCCATCCACCCCCAGCCAAATCTGTGAGGGAGGGAAGTTCCTTCCTAGAGATCACAGTCCTCGGGCATCCCCTTAGACTTAGGAGGAGTCAGCTCCTTGAGGTGCTCATAGAAGGACCTCCCATCTTTGGCTCTTTTCTTTGAGCCCGGGACTCCCAAAGGTAGGCTGGCAGCAAAGGTGAGATATCATCTAGGTGTTGGGCACTCAGAGTGGGGAGAGGGCCAGAGGGCCTTTCCCTATTCACCAGAGCCTGATGCCTCCCAGGCTAGCCACAGCCAACTCTGCTGGAAGGGGCCAGAGATGCTCAGCAATAATTCAGGGTCTCCAGCTCTTTGGAATCTGTTGCCAGGAAACAGGGAGACAGGCACGTGCATCCCTGGGGAGAGGAATCAGTTTCCAACCCCAGACAAAGCAGTGAAATGTAAGTACCAGGTGCCGACTGGAGGCCTTCCCACTCCCATTCTCGGAGACTGAGTAGGGACACAGTCTGAGCTAGAACCCCAAAGGCAAGGCAGAGACCCAGGTTCCAAAGACAGACCAAGTGGGGAGTAGGGACACAGAGTAGGGCCCTGCTGAGGATACAGCTGGTATGGCTACAGTCTAGTCACAGGGGCCCCAGTGTGGATCCTAGACCTAGGGATTCTGTGAATGGAAGAGGATTTTTCTGGGGTCATTTTAAGAGATCAACAACCTCAAATACTCCTAGGTTCAGGAAGAAGGCCTCTCTAGAGAGAGATGTCTTCATTATTCTTGGCCAATATGGGTCAAGACAAGAGGCTGAGATGGTAGAAGCCCGCCGTGTCCCTCTTCCACCCCAGACTCCCTTGGATCAAGTTCACCTGCTGGGCATTGTGCCAGTTAGGGAGGCTGGTGCATCTTTAATGAAGTCACTTGATCCTTGGGACAGGCTCCTGGCCTCAACAGGTTCCTGGAGCCAGACCCACTGGTGCCCACTGAGCCACCACCTTCCTGTGCCTCGGTGCCAGTCCCTTTCCCCTGCAGCCATGAACCAGGCCTTCTGGAAAACCTACAAATCCAAAGTGCTACAGACCCTGGGTGGGGAATCTGAGGAAGACCTGGCAGAGGAGGTGGGTGCCATCCATGTGTGCTGGGTGGGGCATGGGCAGAGGAGCAGCAGAAATGAGAGGTACAAAGAGGGGAATGGGATAGGCCCTGAGGGGGCACATTTGTGCAGAAATCATTGGCACACTCAGGGATGGTAAAGAGCATGGTGCAGCTTCAGAAAGACAGGGCATTCAAGAGACAGAGGTCGACCTGGGAGCCACTGGAGGAGTAACCCCTGTCTCCAAAAGATCTCAAGGCTGCCACATGGAAGAGATGCTTCTAGGACTGGTGGGCAGTAGCCACACTGGTACACTTAGCTTGACACAACTAATAGGCAGAGTTGAGCAGAAATGAGAATGAGGTGATGAGCCCCCTGTTACTGGAGGTAGGGGATAGCACTTGTACTCCAAAGGTCACTGTAGTAGCATCAGATCAAAGCCATACCTAAACCATCTTTGTTCTGACTCTGTCGCCCAGGCTGGAGTGCAGTGGCATGCTCACAGCCACTGCAGCCTCAACCTGCTGGGCTCAGGTGATACTTCCACCTCAGCCTTCCAAGTAGCTGGAACTACAGGCATACACCACCGTGCGGGTTAATTTTTCTTGATTCATTGTAGAGATGAGATCTCACCAAGTTGCCCAGGCTGGTCTTGAACCCCTGGTCTCAGGCAGTCCTCTCGCTTTGGCCTCCCAAAGTGCTGAGATTACAGGCTTGAGCCACTGTGTCTGGCCCTGTTCTGACATTTTAAAAAAGTTCCTGAAACTGGAAACGGTCTTATATCTAGAGACTGTGATAAGTGGCAGCCACACAAATTTACACGGTAGGGGCAGGAACTCATCCTGTGGGCTTTGGGGAGTGTGTGTGTGAATAAGTGAATGTATAGACAGGTTGGTTTCCAAGGAGGGCTTGTGTAGAAGTGTCGGTAGATGAGTGCTGGGATTGGGGTCTGTGTGGAATTCCCAGTGAAGGTGTATGAGCAGGTGTGAACTTCTTTTTTTAGTTGGAGTCTCACTCTGTCGCCCAGGCTGGAGTGCAGTGGCACGCCCCCCAGCCACTGCAGCCTCGACCTGCTGGGCTCAGGCGATCCTTCTGCCTCAGCCTTACGAGTAGCTGGAACTACAGGTGCACGCCACCATGCCAGGCTAATTTTTCTTGATTTATTGTAGAGATGAGGTCTCACCAAGTTGCCCAGGCTGGTCTCGAACCCCTGGTCTCAGGCAGTCCTCTCACCTCGGCCTCCCAAAATGCTGGGATTACAGGCTTGAGCCACTGTGTCTGGCCCTGTTCTGGCATTTTAAAAAAGTTTCTGAAACTGGGAACAGTCTTTTATCTAGAGACTGTGATAAGTGGCAGCCACACAAATTTACGTGGCAGGGGCAGGAACTAGTCCTGTAGGCTGTGGGAAGTGTGTGTGTGAATAAGTGAATGTATAGACAGGTTGGTGTCCAAGGAGGGCTTGAACTACAGACTGTCCAAGGAGGGCTTGAACAAGCTGGAACTACAGACGCACAATGCCCGGATAATTTTTTTATTTATTATAGAGGCGAGGTTTCACCAAATTGCGCAGACTGGTCTCAAACCCCTGGGCTCAGGAAATCCTCTCACCTCAGCCTCCAAAAGTACAGGGATTACAAGCGTGAGCCACCCTGCCCGACTGGTGTGAATATTTTGAGCAGGTGTCTAATCCTGCCTGCCTCTGTAGGCATTTGCAGGTGTTACATTTGAATGGAGCTGTGTGTTTTGGTGTCTGTGGATCTGTAGAGAGGTTTTGTGTGCTGGGTAGACCTCTGTGCAACTGTCTGCATTGTAGAAACGCACAGGTGTGAGTGTACACAGAATGGTATAATTGCGTGTCCTTGTACAGGTAAAGAGCTGTAGCCGTGTGGAGGCATGCTCATGTACAGGGGTGTGTCTATATCAGCGTGCATGCCCTTGTGCACATGCTTTTGGGTATGTATGGATGTGTCTATGGGTGGGCAGGTATGTGCGCTCAGGGGCGTCTGCAAGCATTTACTACACAGGTCAGGTATGTGTATGTGACTGGCAGTTTTGTGTAGAGGTATACTTGTATGTATTCCCATGTGTCCTTGTGGAGGTGTGAGGTGTACAGGTGTGTGTTTAGTTCTGTGGGGTTTGGGGTACCTGGTCTGTGTATACCAAGCTTGCAGAGAAGGAGGGAGGTCCCACCCCTCTGGGGCCTCTCTCATGCTGGGTGGGGGTCTTGTGTCCCAGAGGGAGAACCCAGCATTAGTGGAGTCTGAGACAGCAGAACCGACTGAGGAGGCCTTCAATCCCATGTCACAGCTGGCCCGCCGGGTGAGTTCTTCCACCCTGACCCTGGGGAGCCTGGCAGAGGCTGCTGTGGAGTCCTGGGAGGTCGTACTGGGGCTCTTCCCTGACTCCCAGTCCTCCTCCCAGGTTCAGGGGGTCGGGGTAAAAGGCTGGCTGACAATGTCGTCTCTGTTTAACAAAGAAGATGAGGATAAGCTGCTGCCACCGGAGCCCTGTGCTGACCAGTATGTGTGTGTGTGTGTGTGTGTGTGTGCACGTGTGTGTGTGCTTTGGGGTGGTTCTGGAAGGAGCCGGGGGTCCGCCTTCTACCATGTCCTTTCCTCCTGGTCTGTTTTTCTGTCTTTCTGACCACGGAGGGCTGGGGAAGCGCAGCCCTAGGCTGTTCTATTTCCCTCAGCAGGAAAGAGGTCAATCAGTATCTCTGGGAGATTAGGTTAGATCTCTGGAGGAATTTACCAGCTGTTGGGATTGAGGTGCTAGAAAGTATTTATGGACTCTTCTCATCCACTTGGGAGGGGCCATCTCCCGAGAATCAGGCAACCCAGATCAATGGTTTCCAAATATTGTCTAAGCTCTCATCTTCCAAGGGAGTTTTCAACAAACACAAATTCCTGAGACCTCCTTCAGAGATTCCCATTCAGGCGATGTGGGCAGAGGCCTGGAGGTGGAGGGGTCCACCTAGATTTTCAGCAAGCTCTGAGGATCCTGAGACTCGATATTATGGAGACCACTGTTTTAGAAGGTCTTTGATGCTAGGATTAGGAGTCAGGTCCAGGACCTCATTCCATCTCCTAGCTCTATCTCTGGCACACTCCTTCTCTGTTTCTGCTTTATCCTCCACCCTCCCTCACCCTACTCCTTTCTCCTAGGGTCCCCCTGAACCAGGTTTCCTTTCTTCTCCCCACCTCACATCCTCTTTCCCTCCCCGTTCCCTAAGGATCTCTTCCCAGACTTGAGGCTCCCACTTCAAGTTTCATTACTCCTTAATTGCCCTTCCCCCCACATCTCTGGTCCACCTCCCTGAATCCCCCTCCCCTTTAACCCTGGGACCTTGGCCTTTCTTCCTTCCTACCTCCGGGTCTCCCTTTCTTTCAATGCCAGGAGCTGACCACTGTTCTTTTTCTTTTTTTTCTTTTTTGAGTTGAAGTCTCACTCGGTCACCCAGACTGGAGTGCCGTGGCCACTCCCGGCCACCGCAGCCTCGACCTGCTGGGCTCCGGCGATCCTTCCGCCTCAGCCTTCCGAGTAGCCGGAAGGACAGGCACGCGCTACCTCGCCCGGCTGATTTTTTGATTTATTGTCGAGATGAGGTCTCGCTGCCCTGGCGGGTCTCGAACCCGCGGGCTCAGGCAATCCCCTCACCTCAGCCTCACCTCAGCCAAAGGCGCGGGATTACAGGCTGAGCCACCGAGCCCGGCTTACTGTTCTTTTTCTCCCAGGGCTTCCCTCTCGCGGGATCTA